ATCAATTAATCAGTAGAACTTTAGTCACTGTCAGTCTTCAGAATGCTGAATGCGTGTAAACTGATATTTGAATTACGAGATCAGAGGCTTTTGCCATTCTCTGTTGAGTGCATTAGTTAGGATTAACTGTAACGTTAGTTTGATTGTATATTGTGTGGCAAGGTTTTACAAATTAAAGCATGAAACTGTAAAATTCTTGTCTGGGAAATTCTCATTCTTTTTTCACAGGCATTTAGTATATAATATACCCATATACGTGCACAAGTCATTAATTGTCCAGGACACCCAGATTATTGTCCAAAATGAGGCACTCTAATTACGCTATCTTCCACTGCCTAACGGGTGGTTTTATATAAATTTTAAATAATATCATTATTCGGTTGTTTCGTAACGCAAAAGGAAAAGAATGAATTCCCAGAGGAGTTATTCTTGATTAGGTGTTCAGTGTACTAAATGCTAAATGGGGAAAGAAAACCATTGACGACGTGAAAAGAAGACCCACGGGAATGGATGAAAAAAATAGCTACTCTTGTTAATCATAGGTCAGACTCAGACGCCTGCTTACTAATAAGTTATTCGTCTTTCTATAGCTAAAAGGGAATTGTCGGTCAGCATCAGATGTTCGATTAAGCTTTTTGTTTTCCAATAAAAACTAATGAAGCATTTAGAGCTCGTAGGTTGACGGAATCCTTAACATAAAAATAAATCAATTAATTATATGGCTAAATTAAGATGGTTAAATATTGCATCAGATAACTAGCGCCTCAAACTCTGATGTGCTTGTGAATATAAAACGAGCTCTGATATACAATTCCAGTGCCACCGTGACGACCATTGTAATGATACTGCCAATATGAATATGTTATTAATAAGGTCAGAACTGAAAAGTAAAATTCAGATTCCGTAAAAGTAAGAATTTAAAATGGCTTAGAGTCAACTGCGAATCGATTAATCCATTTTACATGCGGAAGGGAGATACGGTACCCAAGAAATTCTCATAGTATTATAGGCATAGCCATTACTTCGGCGTTTTTTGAAGAATAAAATTCAAAGTCTCTTTTTCATAAAAAACAAAAAACAAAAAACAAACAAAATAATCAAAGCCTCTTCGTCCTTCATTCCAACCGATGAGTCAGTTGATCTCGATCGTTAAAATAATCTCACCTTTTCCAGACTAAGTCATGTGACGTATTGAAAAAGCACAAAAACTTAATCAGCAGAGCTAAATCAATCGTTGATAAAGCTCGGATTAGCTTGTGAGAAATTCCCAAAAGCAAGTTTTATAATTGAGAGCAAAAACCATTTGTATCTGCACGTAATTCAAAGTAGAAGTTAAAAATTAAACGTAAGCCCTCGTATATAGATTATATAAAGTCTGAAACGAGTTAAACGGTAAATAATATTGTCTGCTTTATATTTTTCTTTTGACATATATATATATATATATTGACATGCTGATGAAAGCAAATACTTATTTATTTAGTTCGTTTCGTGTGTTTATTTTTCATTGTTTTTAACTTCCATAATGCAATGCCATGACTATGTCGGAAACCCGATCCTTGTTTATAAACCAACCATATATGCAGTGACGGATCCACGGCAAGGAGGGGTTCCTCCCCCCCGCCCAAACAAAAAATTTAAAAAAACATATGGCCTTGTTAAAAATTACCTTTTTCATTTGTAAAATAATCTAAATTAGATTTTGGCCCCACATTCTTCATTTTATTTTTCACTCAGCCCCCCAATCACTAAACTCTATAGCCGTCCCTGCATATATGTTATCCTTACATTTCAATTTCGTTCCTTGTTCATTTTTCGTGGCAAAGATATCTTATTCTTCGAGAGGAGGGGGAAAGTGATAACAGTTTTTATTGGGAAATTCTAACAGAAAGTAATAAAAAGAAGTGGAGCTGGATAATGGAACAATATTGACTAAAGTTATTACGAAAAACCTAGAAAAATAGAGGCACTCAATTAAAGCAATTGCATAGAGTACTGGAGGTTGCATTAACATGCTCCTTTTTTTTAAAAGAAAAAACAATATTCCCGACTGCAGCAAGAATTCTCCCATGTAGTGTCACGTCAGAAATTTGTTTTAAAATGTACGTATATCCATTCCTTAACTCTCTTGCTATTTATCCTTACCAAAACTTTAGAAATGAATCTCTTGCTACCATCACTCACCACATATTTATATTTCCTCCTAATTTTTGAAACTAAATAACACACACGCACGTATACATATTATACATGAATCTTCACTCACTAATCTCATACGTCGCTTGGCGCTGGATTCTCCAGAATATTAAAAATAAAAATTATACGCCGAATACAACTTTCTAAAGCATGCAGCGAATAAAATGTTGGATCAAAAAAGACGGTGTCACGGCTTGGTGTTAATTAATTCAGTGGACGGAAAGCACTGTGTCTAGTTATTACTTAATAACATTACCAGGTAATAAAAGGTTCGTCAAGCTCGTGTGGCCACGTCATTGGCAGTTTATAAAACTATTCGTGAAGAAAATAAAGAGAACATATTTTTCACACACACACATATTGTGTGACATGTGAAATGTTAGTAAAAGCGTAGTTGATATATATATATATATATATATAATTTGCATCATAAATCATAATTGGGAGCTTTTTTATCCTGTTCACATCCCAAGTGAGATGGGAATGTGATTCTATCTTTAATTTCTTTTGTTTGTTGAACGGATATAGATTATCAGAATTTGAAGATGGTGCGAAGCTTGAACTCCACCAAATGTGCTTATCCCATGCTCCTCCGAATTTGGTGCCCAGCTCAACCAATCTCCCTGTTTACTAATTTTATTTTACTTTTTGAAGGCAGAGAAAGAAATAAACATTGAGTAGTATAATCATGTGCTGTCATGCATACGCGAGATTGTAGTGGAATAACTGCATGATGATTGCAATGGAATAAGTAAAAACAAAGTAATAAACAGAATCATTAATTAAGAAAACAAATAAGTGATGGAAGTGTTACAGAAGGATATAGAACTGTGAAAAACAAAGAGTTAAGAGAAACTCAAAAAGAAGTGCGTGAAAAGTTGATACTTTCAGCTAAAAATCTATATCCGTGACTGATTGTAAACAATCAATATTAGTAGCTAGGCATAGGAAGAGTGTCATTTGATTAATAGTTTATGCGCAGACAAGGCGCATCTGGCTTCCCTTGCGTTCCTGGGTCTGTGGCAAAACCGTACCACTTGTCTAATCACTCTCTCTCTCTCTACCCATTTATGTATTTTAATACTTGGATTTTAACGATCATTTCATTTGCCTATTCTATTCCGTCTGGTATCGTGTTGTTCTCTATACTCTGCTTTCAACACATCCACATCCATACCTTTTACTGTGTCTGTATATGTCAAGTGAGTCGTATCCCATGGCTTTTCATGCATCCACATGCACGTACTCTTTCATCATTTACACGCATGAGCTTGGTTATATAATATATATATATATATATATAAAACCAAGCTTATATATTCATTTCACTAATCAATTCTTAATTCATATTGAGGTTACTATATATTAAAAATCATGGTCGGAGAGATCAATTTGAAGTGATGTTGCATCCAAAGGAGGGGGTCCCCAAAATCCACAGGTGACGCGCGTCATTTGTTTCCACATACATTATTCGTCGAGATTAAATAATTGAAAAATATAGATATATACAAGTGTGGGATTCTCTAACTTTTGGCAACGAGATCGTGGGTTTTTAGCCGCCCAATCATATATATTGGTCTGCCCTCAAAGTTGATTCCTTTGCTTCCATCTTAAGCCATTATTATCACTTTTTGCCTTACCTTATTGGTAATCTTGCTTATGTGCTTGCTTTTCTCTTTTCAGTAAGAGCTCATGCTGCCAATTACCTCCCCTTCCTTCCCCTTTTACCACGTCTCACTCTCACTTTAGACTGATCTTCTTGCTTTCCCCTCAAAAAGCACTTCATCGTCAAAAACATGTCACTGAACCGCAACTTCATTAGCTGCTTATTATGTTTATGTATGTGCTTTTTAGATTTCCGTCTACTGTGTTCATTTGGTTAATTTGATCGGACCCCAACTTCACAAAGTAAATTATTAGAGTCAACAACTAAACAAAAAGCACTTTATAATTATGTCACTAAACCTTGATATCACTGCTAGCTATGTAGTGTTATGCAGATGTATATGCCTTTCAGGTCCTTAATTTAATTGCTTGGGTTCATTCATTTAATCAGACCAAAGTTCATCGACTAGACAAAAAGCCATATTACTAGATAGCGCACACGGCCCTTGTAATCAGTTAGTGGACAATCAACTTATACCCTGTTTCAAAACTAGGATATACTGATCCGCAAATAGCTTCAGGATTTAGAACTTCATGCCTGCATTTGTGGTATTTATTGAAGATTACAGCAAGTTCAACAACGACAGTCTTGCATGTTGAACAGATGCTCATGATCATCTTCTTTGCGTTGCACTTGCAGTTCACTTCTCAATGGAATGGCACAGTACATAAATATTCAAGCAATATAATTTGTAAAGGTAGACCGATTATGAGAAGAAAGCTCATGGAAGCCAGCGCACCGCCTCACCCTCAATGGGCAACCCCTGTTCCTTCTTTTTTTTTTTTAACAAAAAAATCTCACTTTAAAGCATGTTCAGTGTTAAAATTTCAAATAAATTGCACAAATTATTTGGCCAGGGAATTCAGGCTCCAAAATTTATATTTTTTTAAAAAAATGTAAAATAGGACAACTGGAATTCCATAATTTGAGAAACTAGATAAAAGAACTTTACATAAGGAATGATATTTTTAAACTTGGTTGATTCTAGTTATGTAAAAATTTCCATTTGATTGGTCGGAGAAAAAAAACTGTAAACCAATAGAGGGGAAGCAGAGGCGGGTCCCAATGAACTTGGTTCTCGGCGCTTTTTGGCCTCCTACAAATACCCTCCTCCCCATCCTCTCCACAACCATTAATCCACACCCACTGCTCATAGCAACTTGACAATCCAATTCGTCCCAAGCATCCTCTCCATTATCATCTTCATCCTTACCTTCTCGCTTATCAAACTTCCACTCCCACTTGTCTCTGTTGGATGCGATTGCCTTCCTTCAGGTTAACTCTCTCCCCCCCCCCCCCTCTTCTTTTTTTTATTCTCTACAAATTGTGCATGCATGTTCTTGTGACTTGAATATTTCCTCACATGCTTTCGACTTCTTCTGCACAGAGACCAAGTGATTTGAGCTTTGCCTTTGGGTTACTAGAGATGACAGCTTCAATGATCCAAAAGATCCAAGCTCAAGTTCTTTCTTCCATGGACCAAGAGACCAAGCTGGTCCATAATCAGGGCATACTCACCATTTTGGGCTCTGCCACCGTAAGGAACGAAGTTACTTCATCTTCTCTGCGTCTGCGACGAACTCTATCAGATGACATGTCGTCCAAGAAATGGCTCTCTCAAAATGGGTTCACTCCAATGAAAAGGATGACAGCTTCTTCTGAAGATCTCTCACGGTCCGAATTCATTCCTGATTCATTCTCCTCCTCCTCTTCCGAAGGAGACGACAAATACGAACAAGAAAACAAAAGGCTGGAATCTGAAGAACAGCCAGGACAATCCGACATTTGGACCTCAATCCAACGAGACAAAAACAAAAACCGAGAACAGCCGGGACAATTGGACATTTGGAGTTCAATCCTGTCTCAGAAGGCCAACGAGGACTCCTCCAAGTCACTCCCGCCTCCTTACGTTCACCCGCTTGTGAAAAGATCACAAAGCTCTTTGTCTGAAAAGAGCCTCGAAATCTGCACGGAGAGTCTCGGATCCGAAACAGGATTCGATCTTCTCTCCACCGACCCACCTTCTGAGACTGGAGATGCAGGAGAGGGCAAGGAAGAAGAGCAGGAGCAGAAAGTAACAGAGGAAGCAGAGGAAGACAACTTCGAAGTGCCAAAATATAACAATACTGCTAATAGCAAGAAGTTTTGTCGACGCTCTTTCCCTCCTCCACTCCCCTCACTTTCTCGTTCAGATGGTCCCTCACTTCACATGCGCCCCCACCGCGACGACGGAAGGTTAGTCCTCAAAGCTGTGTCCGTTCCTTCTCAGAACAACTTCTCTGCTCAACGCCAAGATGGTCGGCTCGTCCTCACCTTTGCTAACCAAGAGTGCAAGGAGGAAGATTCTGTGGAAGTGATGGAAGAAGCAGAGGAAGATCGAATGGAAGAGGAATCAGAGGATGAGCTCAGGGTTTTTGAGGAAGATGACGAAAAAGAGGAAGAAGAGGTCGGAGAAATTGAAACGATGGGAGATCAACCAACCATGTTGTCAAGTGGGATCACAAGGTTAACGTGGACGATGAATAAGCCAGTTGAATTGGTTGATAGTAATCCAAATTGGTCTGAGAAGCTGAACGAAGTGGTGAAGTTGGAGAATGTGCCAGGTGTGGCTCGCTTGATTTCCCCAGCTTCAGCAATCGGATCCACAACTTCTATCAACGTCTATGAATACTACTGGCGAGCCAATCCCACACCAAAGTCAAATCCACTCACTATTCAACGAGACTGTAACACCTCCTCCAACGTGAAAAACAACAATAGCAGCAGGTTCATTGTGTCTGGGGACATGAATCAGAACTCAAATGAGACGCAACAGTTAGTGGTTCTCCGAGGGAAGAATGGGGATTACTTGGTTCATAATCTCAAGTGTTGCAAGGAGTCTAGAAGGTCTTTCCTTCTCTGGGAGCCCTATTGCGTTGCCACTTCCTGAGTATTAGAGTCTCCGCTCTTAGACTGGTCCTGCCTGTCCCATTGTTATTCCAAATTAAACTCCATTTTACTCAAGTTGTTAGTTATTTACTCCTTCTCTCTCCACTCGGTTCCACTCTTCAGGGAGCTCTAGTCCAATAAGGTGGTTAGGAATTAGGAAAGAGAGAGAGAAGAATATAGTAAATTATAAACTTATTTTCTTGTTCAATGACATGACTTCATCAGCACTGTCATATTCTATATATTTATTCGTCTCTGCAGTATATATAAGCTATTTGTGTGTGTATCAAATTCTAACGTAATTTTCCGCTATTGATTATCTCATCTTTGACTTGGAGGGTCCTATCAGGTCGTATCGAAATGACTCGAGTCTCGCAATATTGGTCTTCTTCTTTTTTTTGGGAACACCATGATCCACTCCTGATATGCGGTACCTCTCTTAAACATAAAATACTGCCGCAGATATTTCCTTAATATATTCTTTTTTCAATGATGAAACTACCTCATGCATTATTTCTAAGCTAAAATCATCACTTTTAACAAGCCATCGATGATACATCCCTCGGCTTCTAAAACAAGCATAAGAAGAGAGTGACAAATGGCCAAACAATAAAAAACAACCATAGTTGCATGTGGATCTTGCAAACTACTAAGGTTGATACGTGGTTAAACAACTAAAAACAAAGGATAAGGAGCACACTGACCACATGATCAACTTCAACCGAATTCTAATTAAACGCCGTTTTGCGGAGGTGCATGGTTGACATTTGACTACGTACGAATATAAAAGTTAAAATATTAAAATCCTACACTGATAATTAATGAACAGTCTGCATACATTCTGACTATCCTTACAAATTAAATTATTTCTTGTGATAGTGCATGTTTCGAATGTTAATGCTACTTTTTCTTCCTTCCCTCCTTGCCTTTTCATTTGGCATATCCATTTTTGTGACAACCTTCATTACCGTCTGTTTTCTCTGGTTTTACTTGTCTCTTGAAACAGGGTCGTGTCAGTCTTCTTAAAATTATTCAAACCAGCTATTTCTAAGCTTTTAACGATGGATCGTGCTGCGAGATGAGAGAAAGAAGATGACAATTACAATTTTGCTTGCACGCTGTCAATGGACAAGGTTGAGAGCATCAGTACGCACTTGACAACTTCATCCATTAGAGCTTTTCTTGAAGCCAGAGACTTGCCATGTTTTGTTTCTCAAATAATCTTGAGAATGGGGGTCCTGACCATGTGGGCGTATGGGATCATTTTGGTGGCTTCGTGCTGATGGGTCAAACTTTATTCAGCTTGGTGGCTTTATGGGGATGGCTTCAAACTTTACTTTCAAAAAGGACAAGGAAGAGAAAAGATGGTCATAAGAATTTTAGAAGCGTGATTGCCTAATTATGGGGTCTAATTTGCTGACTCTCAAGGGAACTGCATGAAAAGTTTCATGAAGAAAGCGTTGGTTCTGCTAAAATACTACTTTATCGGAAATGGCAAGCATTCTTGAAGGATTTAAAATGTGGTAGGAGAATGGATTTAGCTTCGCTGTTGCGGTCAACATGATTACTAGGGAAAATGTTGCCGGTCAGAGAAGTTATTGCAGAGGATGGGATCCTGGTTTCTTATCATGGTTATCCAGGGATCAACAAGTGCGCTTACTTGCTTGTGAGAATGACTCGTCAACGTTCACGCCCACTTCCTATTATTTACTAACCTTCCTCTGGATTAATTTTAAGGATTGATGGATGCTGATTGTCCTTTTATTGAGAAGTAGGCTCTGATCATTTCCAAGGACATGAAGGAAACGAGACTGTACAACTTGTCCCCGGATTTTTCTTTTGGCCAGCACTTGCCCTGGATTATAAGATTCTAATTTATGTTGTTTGCTTCCTACTGATTCGCTGTATGTTCCCAAACCCAAAAAAAGAAAGAAAAGAAAGAAAATAAAATAAAATAAAATAAAACAACTTGCGGTTATGTTTTCTACTCCGTGGAACTGTGGATGAATCCACCTCCCATGTCAGGCGTATGAGCTGCCTGAGAAATTAGTAACCAAAATCACCTTTGTCTCTTATATTTATTATTTTTAAAAACGATCCTTATAATTAAATTCTTTTAAGATGTATAAATTATATTGGTAATATCACCATTTAAATGATAAAAAGAGGGATATTTAAAAAAACAGCATATATTTTTTACAAAGAACTGATTTACCTAATATTTTTAACATTTATAAATTAATTAACTAGTTTCTACATTCTCAAAGTAAAGGAGGTAATTGATACTCTCTCTGTTAAAAAATATAAGATATTTTTTGAGGGGTTTTATGTTAAAAAATGTAATAAATTTTTAATGTTTCAATAATTAATTAATGTATTTTTTTTAAAAGTGTCAATAATAAATAAAAAAATTTGTATTACTTTAAACTAAAACACTGTAATAAATAAAGGTAAATATGAAAAGAATGTACCAATTTAAAGATGATTAACTGTTTTATTAAAAAATGAGATTTATTTAAAAATGTTGTGTATTTTTTATCGAATGGAGTAAGTTGTTGTATTAGCTTTATGTGTAATTCCTTTGAACTTAATGATACTTCCTTGCTCAATACAGTGATGAGCGTTAGGTGCTCATTAATTAAACGACGCTCATTTTGAGTAATGCGAATCATACTCTTCTCCCCTGTTTTGATTTAAAACTTTTAATGTGGAAAAGAGAAAGGAAGAATCGCATTGCAAGCTCTAAAAAAATAAAAAATTACACTTTGAGCCCAATACGTTCTGATATTGTACTGCAGGCTCGAGAACTCTTGTTGTAATTTTTTGGGAAGCTTGTGTCTGTGAAAGAGTTGAAACTAGTAGGCTTAAAGTTTCATAATTGCCATGTCTTGATGCAACAACTATTACGTTTGGCTATTTGAGGCATATTGAAAGAATATTTAAGACTTACAATAACTAGACTTTGTTTCTTTTTCTATGCTTTATGCAGTAAAGTTATTGATCCTTGTAAACTGAAAGAGTTAGAACAAGAAGCTTGTATGATTTTATGCCAATTTAAGATGCACTTTCTTCCTACATTTTTTGACATTATGGTTCACATAATAATGCATCTAGTGAGGGAGGTAAAATTGTATGATCCTGTTTATTTATGATGGATGTACCCAGTTGAGAGATACATGAAAATACTAAAAAGGTATATCAAGAATTCATATCGACCCGAAGCATCGATGGTTAAAAAATATGTTTGCGTGGACTTTTGTTCTAATTACTTGTCAAGTATAGAATTAATTGGACTTCCTAAATCTCATCATAAGAAAGGCAATTAGGTCAAAGCACACGTGAAGTATCATTAAAGAACATGAGTCATGATGAATTATAAAAAGTATATTTACATATTTTCAATAAAATTGATAAAGTTAAAGATTACATTTTTTCTCATAAAGAACTTCTAAAGGCAGAAAATTATCAAACGAGAATGACTGAACAAAGGTTATTGAAAGAGCATAATAAGACTTTTGTAGATTGGTTCAAGCAAAAAGTTTTGAATGAAAGTAACATTTCTGATACAGTTAAATGGTTGGTAGGAGGTCTTAACTTTGATGTTATATGTTGGAGTGCTTATGATATTAATAGATATTTTTTTTACACAAAGCCATTAGATGAAAAGAGTACAGTGCAAAATAATAAGGTTATAATAGTGGCTGAAGTCGTTTACTTCTCTACCTCAAAAGATAAGAAACCTAAACTAACAACAAGGACTTATTTTGAGGTTATGGAAGAGATTTGGGAGGTTGATTATATAAAATTTAAAGTTTCTTTTCAAATGCAAATGGTTTGACATCAACAGTGTTCATGATAATAAGTTAGGATTTACAATGGTTGATCTTAAAAAACTAACTTATGAAAATGAGCCATTTATTATGGTAGACCAAGCTAAACAAGTTTTTTATGTGACAAATCCAAAAAATAAAAATTGGTCAATAGCATTGAAAGGAAAAATGGTGATTGATAGTGATGATAATCAAGAATCAAGCTTCAATATTTCTAAAACCCCTACTTTCTCATCAGGGCTACCAATTTTGAATGTAGTAGATGAAATAGATGACGAACATATTATAAGAAGTGATCATCATGAAGGGATATGGGAAAATATTCTTATATGAATTTAGTTTTCAAATTAAAGTATGCTTTCTAAGTTCAATTAAATTTATATTATGTTTTCTAATTATCTTATATTTGTTTATTTTTCTAATTAACTTAATTTATATGAATTAATAGGAATATGGAGTATTAGAGTGAACGTGGTGATGACACTCAGAGCCAACCCACTACTGGCCAGCCACTTGGTGATGAGTCGAGTAAGGGCACCCCTAGTGAGAGCCAGTCTATGAGGAGAGGTAGATGTAGCACACGATTGAGAGATTTGATATTAAGTAGGAGTATTGGGCATAGGTTACCAATCCAATTTGATCAGAGATGGAATTCGATAGGAGAACACAAGGCCAAGTTTGTTAGTTTTCTTGGCCTCCTATCTCGTCCCAAGCACCCTATTGTATTTGAGGACTAGCCTGATGTGCCAGAACGTGTGAAGGACTAGATGTGAGAAAGTATTCAGTTACGTAATTAATTTATGCATGTAGTTATATATCATTGTTAAATTACTTATTATCATCTTGTGTTTTAATTGCAGCTCACGTACGATATTCCTTCTAATCAAGATTGCCGACATAGGTTGATTTCCTATTGTGGAACGCATTGGAGAAATTTCAAGACTGATTTTGTTAAGAGATATATCCATATTGAGGTGCCAGAGGGTCAGGCTCATCCTAATCGTCTTGACACGTACTGGTTCCTTAATGAAGATACTTGACAATAATTTATCAGGATTTGAACTTTTGAAAAAGCTTTGGTCTGTTGATTTTTAATTGATTTAAGTTTTGTTTAGTTTTACTTCAACTATAAAATTTAAAATTCATTTTTTTAACAGGAAAAACGAGCTAAAGGGCAGGAAATTGCTTGACAGAATCAATGCCCCCACACGCTGTCTCGTATAATATATTGATGGTGGAGAAACAGAAGAAAAGGGAAGAAAAAACTAAGTCCGATCCTTCCCCACTCCTTTCTCCACCATCCCTCGTCTCCTGAGAGGAGAAATGGAGATATGGACACCAATACAAAAAAGGAGACAAAAAAGGCTATACAAGCGAGAGGGCACGCGAGATTGATGAGAGGATTGTAAGTAATATTATTATTT